GACACTATGTTAAGTACTAGCCATGACAGTGAGCATTGGTGGGGAGTGTGCTATGAAAATAATGCTAATAGCAGCAATGATTCTTCCAAATAATGACTAAAACAGTGAGCATAGTGGATCTAGGGAAGGAAGGGTATCTGGGAAACAGGAATAGCTAAATAGTGGTTTTTATTATTATTATTTCTACTGTTTATTTCATCAAGTCTAAATTCTGCCTTTAAAAAGAGTTGGAGCTGATATGTTGGCATGCATTCAGATGAGAAGGGGAAAGAGGTGAACTGCTTGTTCTTTTTAATGATTTCATGCATTTGTTGCCCATACCCACAACAGATGTACACATACCTACGTCATATTCATGTCTGCCTGAGACAGCTGTCAGGAGATCCGTGCTGCCATGTAACAGATGCCAATAGAGTGCTGCCCTTCAGTACTAATAGGATTTTTATTAATGATCGTACAGTATGTTGCCCATTGTTTCTCGCTAAATGGTGTTTTAATTTGTGTAATTAAAAATAGTGGTGAATAGGCCTAAAAATGGGAGCTAAGGAACCCAGTCATTTTTCCTAGGAATAATAAAAACTGGTCACTGAGAATATCTGGATGCCAGTGAGAGAGTTCTGAATTGTGGGCAGGCTGGTACCACAGATAGCTTTAATTCTGGCATTTCCTGACTTTTGTGTACCCGACTTTGAATAATAGTGTGTGTGTAGGGATTGGTGCACAGATGTAGATGTGGATGTATCTCATACACATAGTGTTTTCCTTCAACCCTTCAATCAGGAATTATTCTCATTAAACTCAGTATGAGTTTTATTTGATTAAGGACTGATGGCCCAGGCCTACCAGGATCCTAAATGTCATCAGCTCCCATTTTAGACACTGGGAGTTAATGTTCCTCACCACTCCAATGAGGACATCAATATTGAACCTGCATGCCCAGCAGCTTTGTAGGGACTTTAAGGTTGGCCTTATCCCTAATGAATGGAGTTCACCATGGGAGCATGGCCTTCTACTAGACCCCTACACAGAGCAAACTTGATTCACACTATCTCCTGTTCACATGAAGCCCCATTTTAAGTGCTCTTGCAGCAAAAAATCTCATTTGATTAGAATGTTTCATGATTCTTTAAAATATAAATGGGGGGCTAGGGGATGCATGCATATGCCCTCCTCCCCAAATTTATAAAGAGCAACCAACAGAAAGTGTCATCCAATGTCTAGTGCCCCTGTGTTTCGTCATTGATAATGTTGCTTGGTAACCAGTGGAAGGCATGTTACAGACTAGCCGGGCCGTAGCTGAATTACTCTTATTCAAAACTGTGCTTTTTTTCCAGAGAGGGATCAGAGACCCCTAACTGGCTCTTTTTTGTTGTGGCCTGCACATATATTTTGGGGGCAACAAAATGTAGGCTTGGAAAAAAAAAACATGTTATGCCGTCTGTTTTTATCCTACATAAGACAATTGTGTTTTACTTTGCTATGTGACAAAAGGGCTGTGAATAACATTCCATTATGGTGATGGGTTTTTTCACATCCTCTTGTCTTTGATCATGATGGCATGGTGTGGGGAAGCTGCCTGTCTTCAATTCTGTAACTCTATAACTAGGCAGGGTGCCCAAGTTGACAAAAACTGAAAAAACAAAAAAACCAATTTTTACTCTACAGATTTGCTTGTTATGACCAAAGAGCATTGGAACAATTTATTCATTGGTAAGTACATTAGAAACAGGCTTGAAAAGAAAATGGACAAAGTCCTCAGGAATCAGCTTGTTTGCACTTCTTATGCATTCCAATCATATTAAAATGCAAAACATGTTTTCCTTGGTTTGCTTCACTCTTTAGCCCATGTTTATATAACCATGGTAATTTTGGTTGCCTCTGACATTAGCTGAAATTATTATCAAAAATTATTTTCTTGTAACTCAAACAATATGTAAAATAGTTTTATGATTAATGTGACAATTAAAATAATAAATGTTACAGATCTTGTTATAATGATCATTTCAACCATCTCCATTTTGATTGTTTTGCCCAAACGATGATTGCAGGTTTAGTCCTGCCAAGAGCTGAGAACTGTGAACTTTTCAAATCAAATGCATACATAGAGGTACCATTTTCATCTTGTAAGTTGCAGTAAGTACTTTAATGCCATTGCAGGTCAGTCAGTTATAATTGCCTCTAATTGGCTGTCCTACAAACTCTAACATTGCTTACCTGCGGTGAAGAGATACTCCAAAAAGATGTTATTCATTTCTCTTTTAAAAACATCTCGCAAAACCCAATAAATTACTCTGTCAGAACCTTATAACTAAAAGCTTTGATGATCAGCATAAGTGAGAGGCACAAGCATTGATATAAATTGATATTTTGCAATTACCTTCCAGAGAAAGCTTCTGTTTCTCAAATATTGGCAAATGTTTTCGTTACAGGTTCCTCATGAAACTGGATGGGAAGGGGGAAGTATTTTTTATTGATAAAAAAAATGATTTGCCATTATCAATCTATGCAAAGGAAACCTTTATAATAGCAGCAGCGCCTAAAGATCTTTTAAATCATATATTAACTGCTTCTCCATAATGTTTAGAAAATTAGAAGTAGGAAAAGCTATTAACTAGTTGAATGTCAGTTTGCCCATTATCTAATCTAAGATTAACCCCCACCTAGTTGATCTATTTATATCCTCAGGAAAAGATTCTTGATTCATTCTGTGGGGAAGTCACTTTCTTCATAGGCTAATGACTAGATAAAAACTCTTCATTTTTTTTTAACCTTAAAAATGCTATTTCAGAATTATTTTATGAACCGACTTGAATCAAAAGTAATGGTGTGAATATGTGTGGGAGATGAAATTACTTGGAGGGAATTTTAAGATGATCAGAAGAACTAAGAACAATAAAAAGGTCTGGTATCTCCCACCAGAACCTCGGCTTCCTGTTAATAGAGGAATGACAGCTTTGTTGTTAAAGTATGTAGACACTAATTGAAGACAATAAAGAATAAAGAGGTTGGTCATCTTTCAAAGGCACTTTCAATTTATGGGCTATATTATTCATTGGCAGAATGCTGAATCCACTGAAAAAGCTTCCATGTTTAAAATTCTGACCTGTAACTTTATGGGAATGATATGCAACTGCAGTTCTAATTACTTGTGGTACAGAGTCAATGGATTTTCTGTTCACTTGGGACTCATGAGAGCAAGGAAAAAAAGTGCATTTCTAACCTAGAGGCCTAATGAAATATTACCTATCATATTCAGTGTCTATGAAACCATAGGGAAGGGCAGATGCCCTGAAAATGAGTTTCTGGAACCCAGGAGCATGTGAATAGGAGCCAATCCTATTGAAGTAATGAACTGTTAAAATGAGTAATTCAGTAGGTGGGTGTTTATTAACAATAGGAGAATGCTTTTGGCTAGCATGTGAGGACCTTCTGGCCTAATGATACCATAGGATGCATCAGTCTTCCACCAGAATTGCTTTCTGCTAGTGGTGATCCAAGCCCCTGTACTTGGAGGATTCCAAGGGATTTTTGAAGACTAACTAGACATCAAATAAAAACCCCTGTAAGCTACATGTAGTTACTTTGTTTCTGTCTTTGTGGTTAATTCAACCACGACCAAAATGATGACTAACACCATCATTGGAGGAGACAGAAAACTTGTAGAAAGGCAGAGCTATTCTGCAAAGTTACCCAGGGATATGACAGCAGTGGGATCTGCAGGTAATGAAGGAAGCATAAGTCGTAATGAGAAAGCTTGTCCCCAAGGAGAGGGAATAAATAGCAAAGGTAGATCCATTCAACACACTGAAGTGAGTTTATTTTCATCTTCTCTCTTTGCTGTTGTTATAACCTTGTTTTCCATCTAGCTACGGTTGCCTCCAGGAACAAGCAGAATATAGGCAAGTAGAGAAAATGTTCACTAGATGCTTAAAAAGCAAAGCAGTGATAAACTAGCGTGTGATGAAGTAGGCCATCATCTGCAAAAGCTTAAGCCACTCTGAACCAGTTAGTCTCTAACGGCACTTTTACCTGTATGCCAATGCGCTCTGATTAGATGTCTCCATGTTTCAAAATGGTGGTGGGAACGCTTTAACTAAAGCTCATTGAATGAGTTTTAGTTACAGCACCTCTGCCTCCATTTTGAAACATGGGACACTGACTTCATGAGATGCTGTGGGTGTTTTAATTAAAATGTCTCCCAAGAACTGTTTTAATTAAAATGCTTCCCACACACACACACACACACTCCGGAGCACGTGTATCGGTGCCCTAAGGAGTCACCCTGCTCTGCCTTCTGCCTGACTTCATTCTAACACAGTTAACTACCTTTCTCTACTGAAATAAGATTTTGAACCATGCCCAATCCCTGGTTATAGTGTGTTAGTCATTTTCACCTATGTAAAACAACCATTCTGATTTGGCAATGCTTTATACATATGTCACTACTTTTACTTTACACTGTGCATGATGACTGCTCAAAGGACAAGAAAATGAAGAATCAGACACTCTGATTTGCAAAGCATTGTACGGTGTATTAGCAGAAGCATGAAATGACAAGAGTCAACTGACCAAGGCAGGTTGGACTTCTTCATCATCCGCCTTCAGAATTCTCTAGCCGTCTGGATTTTTTTTTCAGATTCTCTCAGTAAACTTTAATAGAAGTGTCATGGTACTGTGTACTTTTGAAAAACAGGCCATATTTATGAAATGCCTGGATGTATTTATATGCTTAAGTTTGTTCCCTTTGATGATTTTGATTTAGGCACTTGTGGCTTAGTCAGGGGTTTTTTTGTATTGTAGTAGTAGTAGTAGTATGTTTGGATCATGCTGTAGTTGTGATGGTCCAGGAAATGTGCAAGACGCAAGGGTTATTATGGCTGATATCTTTTATTGGACCACCTGCACGTCTGGGATTTTCATTGTAAATCTTTGTATTTCTTTCAAATGGAATGGGTTTCATTTCGTCATGAACCAGCTGGACCTGTATAATTGGCCTGGAAAATGTCACAGAAGATACATATGAGAATTCCAACATCTTTTGTTTCCAAGGACTAGAAATAAATGGAAGACCAAATTATCTGGCACTGTAAATGACTAGATTACCACAGCCGAGATTTTGGCTGGTATTTTGGCACTTGCAGTCCAGTGCTGAAGCCTGAAAACTGATAGGGCTTAAGTGATGTACAGGCTCGGTGCTGGCTCTCAGCACAGCAACGAACTCTGCCCACATATATAGTGACCTAATATGTGACTGGACTCCTGGAGTTGAATCTTGCCCTAAGTTTTGTGGGGAAAATGGGACCACATACCTCTTTCCCCATTTTCCACACCATTTAGAACATGTGGGATTCTGATCCACAGGAGTCTTGAATAATATACAACCTTCTGTGGTAAATTGTATGCCAGACACACAAAGCTTAAGTATTCATAGTGTTTTTTAAATGTATACATTTTCTGTATCTTCCTGTCCCTTACATAATAGTAACATTAACAAGAATAAAAACACGTAATGCAAGGAACAAAACAAATACAAATCCCAAATGAAATGCATTGGAGAAGCATTGAAAGCATCAGCAGTAGGAATCCCATGAATTTTGTAAGGAAGACAATTCCACCAAATTGGGTCCAAGTACTTTGCAGATGGCACAGATGGTTTAACAAGTGACAGATGGGAAACAGAACCCAAATTATGGGCAAATTCATAAACATAAAGCAGGTTTCTCCAACAGGTAGGAGTCAAAGTCTGAAGGGTGTTCAATAACAGTAACATGTTAATTTTAACTTTCAAAAGGTAGTCAAGTAAAGATGGAGCATGGCAAGCTGCAAGATGAGCACAAAAATACAATGGAGCTACCAGAATAGGAGTAGATTGCAAACAAAAAAAGAGACAGAAAAACTAGCCAAAAATGTAACTACAATCAAGCCTAGAAATAATAAATGAGCAGACCAAGATTGTGTTTATGAGTACATTTGAAGAAAAAATATTGTGAAACGTTATGTCTTCTTTTCATCAAAATTTAATTTGTATTGACATTTTATGACCCATTCTATTGGTTGGTTAAATGTGTGTAACACTTCCAATTACTAACGAAGCTACAGATGCAATGTGAAACAGATGTGCTTAACCTATAAAAACAGTGAAAAAAAATACGAATTAACAAGTCTTCTTCACAAATAAGAAGAGAAAATGTGGGGGGAGAGAAAGTCCAGCCAAAGCAAAACTACACAAAGATGCTATCCTATAATCAGTATGTCGGAAAAGAAAAAAAAATCCAATTTAAAACTCATAAGAAAGTGATTCTTTTATACTGACTGAAATAATGCATAGAGGAAATTAGAGAGGCTCTCACAATTTGATACAGAAACATGAATGTAAAACTCTTTATTCTGAATGAAAGGATTTCTGTTTTCGTACCTGAAAATGGGATGTGCCCTTATACAGAAATCTGGGTGTATAGGCCATGAGAGAGATTATAGTACTATTGTGGGAATAAAATTGTTTAAAAAAAAAACATTAGCAAAGTAGCTGTATGTTTGACTCACAACTCGAGCCTGGACAAACAGGTGGGTGCTGTACTAACGTTACCTCCCTATCAGGGCTGGTAGACTTGGAGACTGAGTGGCATGGAAGGTGTGAGATATGGTATTTGCTAGCTTGAAACAACTTCTCCCTTTGTCTCCAGGAGAAGGGAGTAGTCTAATCCATTGTTGCCAACCTTTTTTGGAGTGACATTCCCCTGTGGGTCCCTGTGATGGTATATTACAGGTAATAACAATGGTATACTTGGTTACTACAACCAGACTGGAGTCTTGCCAACAACCTAAGAAACAGCATGCAGTTTTCTTCTTGTTTCTTTCTTCCTTTTCTTTCATTTATGTTTCCCCATTCTCTCCTGCTTTCCCAGTCTGTCCTGTTTCACATATCTTGGAATTCTAAAAGATATACTAAAATAATCTATCAAGAGAGATGCACTAGGTAAATGGCAGAGCATTGGAGGCGGATTTTGCTGTGTGTGCCACAGTACATATGGCGGTGGTAAACAGGATAATTGAAGTAGCACCTGCTAGCACTGTTGGAGTGAAGCATCTTCAGTGAGAGTAACCATTTTTCAATATAACTTGGCCATAAAAATCTGTCCTGTGCTGAAACTTGATATAAATCACACTCTCATCTGAGACTGGGAGTGAGATGTCTGGCTTCAGATGCTCTATGTACGTGAAAGGGAGATTACATGCTGCAGTAATTAAAATTGTTTCAATTTTTAAGGCTTTTTGCAAGGAAGACCGTCACTTAAGTTGGGTAAAATAAGATATCCCCTGATGCTCTGCTGGGAACTCAGACTGCACTGATCCTCTTCAGAGAGGCAACAGTGGATTCACTGATCTCAGGGGACTTGGATCTACACAGAGATAGTAGGCCTTGTCACTGGCCCTTAGCTTACCCTTGCTGTCACCCTTTTGATAAGTTGGCAATACAGTTCTAACAGAACCATGCTGCTACAGAGTACCCATTCACTGCTGCTCCTTGAATGTGTGGACGGTAAGCACTCACAGGCTATGGCCAGCATTAACTTTCATTGATCTCAAACCAGACCATGCTGCAGGGTTAGTAGAATAGGGATGTACCCCCCATTTTACATGTCCTAGAACAGACTTTGCAGCTGAAAGCTCTTTTCCACTAATATATCTGAATTAGATGCATTAGAACATATCAGAACTGAAGCAAAAGTCCTTCAGCATATTTCTTCTGCTGTGGGATTATGGGTAAATCCTTCCCTTGCACTTCTCAGGTGCTTTATGGACCTAGAAACACTTCAGCTCCCAGAACCAGCACCAGCCACGTGATAGAGAGGCTGTAGCATTCAGAGCTCTGCAGTACTTTATCACTCCCACGTATCTCCCCTTCGGTCCCAGAATTCCATTTAATATGATAGGTTTTGTTTATGTTCTTAACTGGCCAAGTGCACTGGTTGTATTTTATGAGACCATCCTTGGGAGCCAAGCCTGACTTATCAAGACACGCAGTTATGAGAAGGTGTTTATAGCAGTGTTATTTATAGCATAGAACTTCTGATCAAAAGGTAGTGTGTGCAACCTCTGATTAGAGCATAAAATACCTATTTGAGAAAAGCTGGGAAAATGAAGCAGGTTTCTTCTGATGCCAAGCATAGTATCACAAAGTGAACCCGCATTCGCTTCAGGAGGGAGATGAAGCATTTTTGTGCCATCTGCTCATCTCCTTAGCGTTCCCTCTGCTGGCCTCCTGCCCCAGTACCAACTCCTCTGCATCTCTGAATTGCTTTGATTGCTCCAATACACTGTGGGATCAAGAAATAGAAAGGGGAGTAACTTGGTCACATAGGTCTGCACATATTAGAAATCCTAGCTATGCAACACAGATTCCTCTCCATCCAGTATATGCACCTATTTTTCTTCCCACCACAGCCAGAATTATGTCAGTGTCTAGTACTGCCTCATCTGCCTAGTCAATAAGGAAGCAAAACTACCCTTTCAGTGGTGTATCTGCCCCAAAAGACTCTCTCCGTTCTGTGTCAGGTGAAGATCACGCAGGAAGGAAGCAAGCCTTGCCCTGTGGGGAATGTGTACTTCTAGGAGATTCTCATTTGTAGGTGTAGGCAGCTGCCGTGCTGCCAAAGAAATTGGCAGCGTTCATCAAGCGAGGAGCTTGTGCTACATATTTCATGGGGTTACTATGAAGAGCTTCTGGTGCTAGATCACTGTCTGCATTAGAAAAGATTATAACAAATGTGTATAGAAAAATGGAATGAACTGTTTTAAAGGAGGCAAGATACTGTTTTGCACCAGGATGTCAGCTCATCAGTGCTACTGCAGCGTGACAGCTGTGGTGCGTCTGGGACCTCCTTACCAGCTCTGGTGGCTGTGTCGGAGACACAGCAGGATATCCTATTAAAAATATGAAGGGAACTGCCAGTCAGCCTGAAAAAAACACAGCTTTGTGTGTGACAATTTATTCACTCCAATATTACAACAAAGGAGCGGGAGTGTCACTCGGGGAAATCTGCATGCCCTTGTTCCTCTTCAGTCCCCTTCCTGCTCAAGCTTCAGTAGTCCATATTGCAGCCTCATGGATTTCCATACCACACACCGCTAGCCTTAGTGCAGCAATGAGACACAAAGTGACTGCATATGGCACTGGCAGCCAAATCTCCACTGGGCACACAGTTTTATGATAGGATTCTGTCTGGAGACTACTTTGGGGAGGGTGAACAATTAATTGCTAATTAAACATGGCTTTAGGCTATGGTCACAACTCCTCTGAGAAGATGATTAAAGGCAAATATATAGGTGTATCCTCTGTTCAGGCAAAAATAAAAATCCCTATTACTGTGGGGAAGAGAATGCTTACTTAAGGGGTGTATGATGAAGGATGATGAGCACTTATTAGGTATGCAAAAGAAGCTGCAGGAGGATTTTCCTGCGTTAAATTCCAAGGGCCACATTCTGCTTCCACCAAAGCTATTAGTGACTTCAAAGTGAGAAAAATCAACCCTTTAGACTCTAGTGCTTTTCTTTATAAAAGTACATTTGCATCACCTGCAGGAAGCAGTCTCTCTGACTAGGTATCCTACTTATTCCCTTTGCCGCTGTTAATTTTTAAAGATAATTGTGTTTGAGAAGAGTACTCTCCCTTCCACTTCTGCATCAGCTGCATTCTATAGTGTAGTGAAACTGCATTGGTATGTCATGTATGACCTCACAGTCTATTGCCAAGGTAAATTTCTATGACTTCACTAATGGAATAAGACAGCAACAAAGGAGAGTTGGAGGGGCAGACCTTTTGCTAAATAAAAGTGCTAAATCCTGGCTTGGATCACACTGGTATAAACCCAGAATTAGTCACTGAAGTAAGTGGAGTGATTCCAGATTTAGAGTATAATCTGAGAATGCTGAACAATGGGTGAAGTTCTGTACATGACGTGAAACCAACTGTCATAGAGAGGTGTCTGGTTGTGCTTGTTCAACCTTTGAATGAGGGTCAAATCATACTAGTAGCTTGTGCCAGAACCTTGTCAGTCTAAGGACTCTGCTGAGAGGGAGTGGACTTTGTGGTGCAAGTGGGATTTGCAAATGCCTTAGGGTGGTATTGTCCCATCTCTGGGCCTGGGCCAAGCAATCCAAGGGCATTGCGGTGGTTAATGTGATAGTTATACAGAACTCCCATCTCTCATTCCTGTGCCCTGTGTCACACCATCCTTCTCTCAGGACAGTTATGACTTAAGCAAAGTGGTGGAAGGGACAAGTTAGCATCAGGAGAAATGCTAAAGAAAAGAAGGTGCTGCAGAAAAAGTAAAGCTGGCTGTTATACAGATCAAGATTTAAAACTGAATTCCTTAACTGCAAGAGTCAGTCTGTCTGTTCTGACACAGCCTACGGGTCAGGGCAGCACAGTCCCCAGCATGTCCTACACATCCTGTTAATCTTCACAGTGATTATGGTAGACTGGGACAATAGTGCCCTTGTAAAGGTAGAGGAGGTTTAAATTAGAGGAGAGCAAAACAATTATAAAACAAGAACCAAACCAAAAGCCTGATCCAAAATGCATTAACGTCTGAGATTCCTTCCATGGATTTCAATGGGCTCTTGATGAAACGGAAAGCTTGGCACTTTTCCTTTCCAAAATCTGAATCTTCTTAACATTGGAATTCTTTATATTAAAACAAGACTTTTCCCTCCCATCTCTGACCACTCCCAGGTCCCTGGCTGCCTCTTGTCTTTACTATGGAGAGAACATGAGGCTCCCTGTCCCTCTGGAGCTCTGCTTGCCCATTTTACTGTGTAGTACAATGTGAGGCTCCTGGAAAGGGTTCTCACCCACAATAAGTTCTCCTTAAACAAAATAACCTGCATGTATATCATAACTGCAAACTGTTTGAAGCAGGGACTGTCAACTGCTCTGTGAGGTTGAGTGAGGTTTTGCTCTTGGCTGGCCTTTGGGAACTCTGCACACGATTAATAATAATCTGGTTTCTGACACTGCCTGGCTAACCCTTGTGGAATGATGTAGTTAAAACATTATGGTTCTGAGCGTGTGGACAAAATAGGACTTTATACCCACAAGCAATGGTGGATTCAGTTCCCAGGCCACAGGAAAGCTTCTGTCAGTGTATCTCCTGAAATTTATTGTCACTTTACTTCCTCTCTTCTCTCCACCCATTCCCATTTCCATCATGGACTATTCTGGTATGATTTAGCTTCAGGAGCAGGGCACCCAGATTGCAGGAGAGGATGGAGCTAATTGTGTACCTAGCTTGTCTGCATCTTCTTGATTCAAAGAAAGATGTTAACTAATGGACTCTTTCCTGTGAATCAGATGCTGTGTTTTAATTGAGATAGTAAGGCTACTGTTGTAAGCTCTTCCCATATGCTGTGCTAAAAACTGATTAACGTGGCCATCATTTGGAATGCTTTCAGATCAGCAGCAGAGTCTTTTTTTAACAGACACACACAATATTACAAAAATATTTGCAATAGCTAACGTATTTTCAGTCAGGTCTAAGGCCTCAGGCAAACCCTAGATTTATTACCTCTGTCATGTGTAAAATACCTTCTCCATACCTCGCATCAACCTTCCTTCAAACTAGAAATCTGCTTACATTTTATGCCATATTACATTGTAGTCATTTACTATCTATATGCATTATATTCTTGCATAGGTTTAAATGTTAAAAGGCAACTTTTATGCTATCGATGGGGGGAAGGACTATGTATTAGCAAAACTGCTGTCATTTATTACATCACTTCAAAGGCAAGTGTGGCTGAACTAACTAATCCATTACAAGTGGGGTAGTACATCATCCATTATTTGCTGTATACTAAATCAAGCCAGTGGCTCAGGAGAGGTAGACTTACGGATTTCATGTGTGGTAAAGTGTAGCAAATGTGCGGTTGTGGTGAGCAAGATTAATGTTAATATTTACTATTCTGCAGTGGTTGCAATACCTCAACCCTATTCCCTTCCTGCCATGCACACGTGGGCTCTCTCATTTTAATATATATCTCAGCTCTCAGCCACTTGCAGGCTAGTCAGCGGGGTGCTCCTGTACCTACAGACTAGCAGAATGGAAACTGAAAGAGAACTTGAGGAAAGCAGCTGTCTTAGGCTAGGGATGGACATTACATATAAACTGGTTATGTGATCAGAAACTGATTTAAACCTGTAACAGAACAGATGTTCAGTGCACATAAACCAGTTTGAAAATGGCTGAAACCAGTTTGAGATAAACCTGGTTGAATGTAGTATCAGACTTAACTGATTTGGGTCAAACCAGTTTATGCAATGTCTGTCCCAAACCCCTTGCTGGTTTAGGTTAAACCAGACTCCCCCAGCATCCTGGCATGCTCTCTGGGCTGGGCAGGGCTCTCTGCTCCATAGCAGAGCTGGCCCCTCCCCTCTGCTCCCTGGCTGGAGCTCGGCAGAGACTGCAGGAGTCTACCTGGCTTCCCCCTGCTCTCCCCTCCCCTCCCCCCTGACTGCTAAACAGTGATTCCTGGTCCCCTCTGCCTTACACAGACACCTCTCAGCATTAGCTATCAGACCACACGCTGGCTACGGTCTGTGTCAGACAGGACAAAGGCAGAATCAACAGGTAGCTGGTAATTAGGGCTGTGCGAAGCTTCAGTCCCTGATTCAATCTGACAGAGATTCGGCCCGATTCGGTGGCCAAATCTCCAAATCGAATCGGAACCCTCCGAATGGATTCGGAGAGATTTGGTAAGATTCAAAGATTCAAATATAGACACAGCTTTAAATGTTTTTTCTACATACCTCAAGATACCAGGTGGCTCGTGAATGCTGCGATGTTGGGGTGGATGGAGCATCCCACAGGACCATGGAGGGCTCCCCAGCATGCTCGGCAGTAGATCCAGAAGTGGACCAGAAGCACTTCTGGTCCCCTTCCGGGTCCTCCGGGCAGCATGCAAGGAGGCCCCCATGTCCCCCCCCCGACCCGGCTTGGTGACTGGTGCCTCCTGGGTTTGGGGGGGCACCAGGGGTCCCCCGATGGCCAATCGCCGAGCTGGGGAGGTGTGGGAGGTGGGGGCCAGCATGCTCGGCGGCAGATCCAGAAGTGAACCGGAAGTACTTCTGGTCCACTTCCGGGTTCGCTGCTGAGCACATGGGGGGGCCCCCTGAACTCCTGTGGAACGCTCCATTTGCCCTGGCATTGTAACGTTCATGAGCTGTGGCTGGTACCTCGAGGTATGTAGAAAAAACATTTAAAGCTGTATCTATGGCCGAATCGATGATTCTCTGAATCAGCATCGATTCTTCAGATTG